GGTGGGTATGGCAAAAGGAGCCAGGGTCAAGTACAGGTAGGTAGAGGTGGCCCGCCAGGTGCGGGCTCAGGGTTATGTACAGGGGGGCAGAGCTGGTCCGTAAGATGTGGTCTGATGAACCAGGGTCAAGTACAGGTAAGCCGAACTGGTCTACCAAGTGCAATCTGAGGACCCAGGGTCAAGTACAGGTAGGCAGAGCTCATCTGCCAGGTACAGACTGGATCCAAGGCAATGTCCATGTTGGCTGAGGTAGTCTACTAAGTGTGGTCTGAGGAGACAGGGTCACATTCAGGTAGGCAGAATTGTAGGTATGACCTGAGGACTCAGAGTTAAACCCAGGTAAGCAGAACTGGTTCACTGGGCACAGCATGAGGAGCCGGGGTCATACACAGGTGGGTAAATTGGTCTGTCAGGTACCGTCTGAAGGTCCAGGGTTATGTACAGGTAGGCAGAGCTGTCTGGTTATGAATGGTCCAAGGATTTAGGATCAAGCAGAGGTAGGCGGAGCTAGTCCATCAGGTACTGCACATGAGGCCAGGGTCATACACGTGTAGGCAGAGCTGGTCCCCTAGGTATGGTCTGATGATCCAGGATCATGTACATGTATGCAGAGCTGGTCCACTAGGTATGATTGGAGGATCCAGGGTCATGTACAGGTAGACAGAGCTGTTTGCCAGGTATGAACTAAGGTCCAGGGTCATGTACAGGTAGGCAGAGCTGGCCCAGCAAGTGTGTTCTGAGGAGCCCATGTCAGAGGCAGGAAGGCAAAGCTGGTCTGCCAAGTGTAGTCTTGAGAAGGCCTAAGGATCAGGGTCACATTGGCAGAGGTATATAAACATGATCTTAGGTGGGTTTTTGCCCCCTGGGTTCAGGTGCAAGTTGGCATCCCTGGACTTGTTAGTTGAAATGAGTGGGGCAAGATCTAGTCCAGAAATATATAATTGGTGTGACTGGTAAGGCCTGAGGTGACTCAGACACAGGTGGGACCCTCAGTGATAAGACCAGGCTTGAACACAGATAGGTAGATGTGACTCTTTAAGGTGTTGGATTTAGGCAGAGGTATATACCCCTGGTCTTTTGGTGATGGCTGAAGGACCAAGGTTAAGCCTGGATTGGTAGAGTGACTTCTGGTCAAGCATTGGGGTCTTCTGCAGGTAGGTGGAACTCTGGGGTCATAGGTGATCTGGGGGCTCTTGGACATGAGTAGGTGGAGGTGACTCTCTCAAGAAAGGACTTTGGGGTCAGACATATGTATGCTTGGGTCTTGCAGGTGAAATCCTTGGAGCATGATTCTGACCCAGGTCATAGAGGTTAGGCCTGGGGTTTATCACAAGTAGGTAGAACCACAGCTCTTAGGTGGGGCCTGCTGAGCACAGATAATGCAGAGATATTTGCGTCTGATGAGTCTGAGACTCCCTGCTGAGGTTTTGCTGCCCAGGTTAAGCAGGGACTGATACAGCATCAGATCTCTTGGTGAGATCCTTTGGGAGGGTGTGAGGACTCTGGAGTTGGGCTCAGGGAGGTGGCCTGGGTCCGCTGGTTGAGATGTAAGGGGTCAAGGTTAGGCACAGCCAGGTATGTGAAGCCTGGTTCATGAGCTGAGCTGTCTGGAGCCTGTCTCTGACAGGTGTATAACCCTGTGGTATGAGGTACTGGAGTCAGACATAGGTAGGCAGAGTTAACCTCACAGGTGAAGCCATTGTATCATTGCCCAGGGTTTCTGTGTGGACCTGCCTTTGTCAGTGAGTCCGTCACATGGGCAGAGGTATATAAACATGATCTTAGGTGGGTTTTTGCCCCCAGGGTTCAGGTACAAGTTGGAATCCCTGGACTTGTTAAATGAAATGAATGGGGCAAGATCTAGCCCAGAAATACATAATTGGTGTGATTGGTAAGGCCTGAGAAGGTGGTTCAGACACAGGTGGGACCCTCAATGGTAGGGTCGATCAGGACACTTAAGTGGGTGGCATGGACCGTCATTGAGGGAAAGCCATAGTGATCTGGCTAGGTGTGTATACCTAGGTCTGCCTGGGGAGGTCTGTGGAGCCCTTGGGTTTAGGTAGGAGAGGTAGAATACGCTGAGCCATGTCGGCCACCTGTCCCCAGCACCCTGGTCTGGTGTGATGGGCAGTGTTGCAGAGGCCAGGGGATCTGTAACCAGTCCGGGGTGTAGTCTGTCACATTGGGGTCTGGTTGGCAGGGTCTGAACTAACCACATGTGGAAAGAGATTGCATTATACCTGGTTGGAGAAGGTGAGGTCAGAGGCTAGTGAGGCTCAGAACGTAGAACTGACTCAGGTCCTACATCTTTAAGATGTGTTCTGAACTCACTGCAGGTAAAGGTGAGGTCTAGCGATCTGTGTCTGCAGCTTGAGGTTTCAGAGGCTCAAATCAGATACTGGCTTTGCTGGGCTCTTCCCCAAATAATAGTGAAGTCTGAGACTCTGCCCTCAGCCAAGGTCAGCAGCCTGGAATCTGTCAGTCTGTGCCCTGGCGTCTACTCAGTTCTGGGTTTGAGTCTGTTGGGTGAGATCTGAGAGCCTCTGTCAGGCATAGTGTGGTCTGTGGGACTGTGACTGTCAGGTCAGGTTCCCCCAAACCCCAGACCCTTTCTAAGTAAAGAACCCCATCATATTCATCTTTATTACCCAAGTCAGAAACGTCTGATCCTCTCTTGATCCTCTCATACTTCCAATTCCTCCTGTTTAATTGAACATCCTGAGTCAGTGTGTGCATCCCCGCCACCCCCATCCAGGGTGACATCATTCTTTGGATGACCTCTGGGGCTCCTGTGTGGTTTCCTGCGTCCATTCCCACCTCACCCACAGACTTCTTGGTTCTCCAGCCTTGCCTCTCAATTTCTGCCCACCAGTTTATCACACCTTCCTTCATCTTCAAAATTGTGCTACCCATTTTCCTGCCCAGCCTTTCTCAGTGGGCTTTCAGGAGAGAATTAAATCCTAATGCCCCAAGGCAGCCATTGGATATAATGAATTTGCATCTGGAAGGATGCTAGCCTTGGACCAACCTTGGGAGTATGGAGAAACTAAGTCATTCAAAGCATCTTCTGTGGGGCTTAATTCTCTCACTGTTGAGAAAGGCTGTTCTTGCTACACAAGCTTTGCATATGCTGTTCTGGCTCCTGGAATCCTCCACCCTCTGTGCTTCCCTGAGTAATACTTGCCTATTCTTCACATCCAGGCTGAAGCACCTTTAGAGTCCTTTTATTACTGGTTTCAGCACTGTATTCCTGTCTTTTAAGCACTTTGTCTCATTTTCACATTTATTGGCATGATTGTTTCATTTATATCTTTCACCCCCATGGATTGGTGGCATTGCCTATGCTAGGAACTTGGTGGGTACTCCATAAATAGTTGTTAGGAGGATGTGATTGGAGCGCTGAGGATTCCGATGGTACAAAGTGGAATCTGCAGTGTGCCATGGGAGAGCACAGTGTGAATGGTAGGTCTTGGTGTGTCTTGGGCTGAGGCTGAAGACCAGTCAAGTCCAGGTATGAGCTGCTGGGCCTGTCAGTGTCCCAGGAAGCAGGGCTGGCACAGGTAAGAGGAGCTGTGTCTGTCAGTACAGACTGAGCAGTCAGAGATGGGCTCAGGTACAAGGCACTGGATCTCTCACTGTCAGAAGAGGCAAGGCCAGACCCAGGTATGAGGCATTGGGGCCGAGGAGCAGTGGTCACAATCAGGTAGGTCTTTCGTTGCTCAGGGTAGCATGGGCCCAGGTAGAAGGTGCTGGGTCTGTTAGTGTTGACAGAGGCTGGACACAGGTATGAGTCACTGGCTCTGTTGATGTCCTAGGAGGCGTGACCAGACACAGGTGTGGGATTCTGATTTGTCAGTGTCCAAGGAGGTGGGCTAGGCACTGGATCTGTTGGTGTCTGAGGAGGCTGGACCCGGCTCAACTCTGAGGCCCTGGGTCTGTCCGTGTCTGGGGAGGACAGACCTGGTGCAGGTGTGAGACCCTGGGTCTGTCAGTGTCTGGTGAGGCTGGACCTGTGCAGGTATGGCGGCCTGGATCTGTTTGTCTGGTGAGGTCGGACCTATGCAGGTATGAGGTCTTGGTCTGTTGGTGTCTGGTGAGGCCAGACCTGATGCAGGTATGAGGTCTGGGTCTGTTGGTATCTGAGGAGGCTAGACCTGTGCAGGTATGAGGCCCGGGTCTGTTGGTGTCTGGTAAGGCCGGACCTGTGCAGGTATGGGGGCCCCCAGGTCTGTCGGTGTCTGGGGAGGCTGGCCGGACCTGGTGCAGGTATGAAGCCCAGATCTGTCAATGTCTGAGGAGGCTAAACCTTGCTCAGGTATGAGGCCCGGGTCTGTCGGTGTCTGGTGAGGCCAGACCTGTGCAGTTGTGAGGCCCGGGTCTGTTGGTGTCTGGGGAGACCAAACCTTGCTCAGGTATGAGGCTCGGGTCTGTCAGTGTCTGAGGAGGCTGGAGCTGGTTCAGGTATGAGGTCCAGGTCTGTTGGTGTCTGGTGAGGCCAGACCTGTGCAGGTATGTGGCCCGGGTCTGTTGGTGTCTAGTGAGGCCAGACCTGTGCAGGTATGAGGCCCAGGTCTGTTGGTGTCTGGGGAGGCCAAACCTTGCTCAGGTATGAGGCCCCGGTCTGTCAGTGTCTGAGGAGGCTGGAGCTGGTTCAGGTATGAGGCCCAGGTCTGTCAGTGTCTGGTGAGTCTGGACCTGTGCAGGTATGAGGCTCGGGTCTTTTGGTGTCTGGGGAGGCTGGACCAGCCACAGTAAGGTCTTCGGTCGAGTCTGTGGCTCTGGTCAGTCCATGTGTAGTTAGTGTTGTTGGTCAGCCCAACAGCTGCCAGCGCCTGGCTTGCTGTTGCTTCTCAGAGGTGGGTTGGGCCAGGCCCTCTGCAGAGGTGGGCCAGCTGCACCTGTAGAAGAGCATGGCTCCCGGGGACAAGTTTCTTGGCAGGAGGGAGGGGGGGGGCGGGGTGTGCCAACCCTTCCTCAGCGCCTTTTCCTGTCTCTTCTAGTGGGTGGGAGGCCGCTACTCGCTGTGGTCAGCCATCGGACTCTCCATTGCCCTGCACGTGGGTGAGTGTGTGTGTTCTATGTCTCTGTCCTGGAAGACGCTGCTGCAGTCTGAGGTAGGGGTGGGGGCTCATGTCCCCAGCTGCCTTCCTGTTCCCACAGGCTGCTGGCCTCTCTGCCCTTGATGGGAGCCTTTCTCCCAGGTCAGATGGGAAAGGCCGAGTGACCCTTGGGATTTGCAGGTTGGCCTTTCTCCCTGCCCCTCCCAACTGTGGTCCGGCTCATTCCCCATGCCAGGTAGAGTTACAGCTGCCTTTGAGCTCAAGACTTGGCTCTGATTAGAGAGGCTTTCCACAGGCCCTCATCCTGCCAGATTTTGTTGCTTCTGGCTCCGCCTCCAGCCTTCCCCTGGTTCTAGAAGCAGCTGTGTCCATGGCCTGGAGGCACAGGGCACGATCATTTCTGTTGACGCTGCTTTTGCGTTGCAGGATTTGACAACTTCGAGCAGCTGCTGTCAGGGGCTCACTGGATGGTAAGTGCTGGGGCCCGAGTTCTGCAGCAAGCGCCGGCCAGAGGCACCGTAGGTTGGTGCGGCTCCCTCCCCCTCGGCAGCTGCTCAGCACCCCCCCACCCCGGTCTCCTTGCAGGACCAGCACTTCCGCACAGCGCCCCTGGAGAAGAACGCCCCTGTGCTGCTGGCTCTGCTGGGCATATGGTACATCAACTGCTTTGGGTGTGAGACGCACGCCATGCTGCCCTATGACCAGTACCTGCACCGCTTTGCTGCCTACTTCCAGCAGGTACCAGCTGCCAGGCCAGGCCGTGGGTCAGGGGCCCCCTGAGCCCAGGTTACTTCTCCTCCTAGGGCCTTTCCCTCTGTTAGCCTCAGGCATGTCCAAGGCCCACCTGTGCTCCCCCTCTCATGGTGAATATCTGTGACCAGGATCCATGTCACTCAAGTTGGGCTACCATGGGAGGGGCGTGACTGGCTGTCATGGCGTTGTGGCCGGTCAGGCTCTGGCGCGGCTCAGGGCCTGTGCCTCAACCGGGTCACTTCTTTCTTGGACATCACCTGTTAGACTGGGACCCCCATAGTTTGCACTGCCTTTGCCTCCCTCCAGAAAAGCAAGTTTACATACAGGCTGTGGTGCCTCTTTGGGCTTCTCACAGCCCTCTGCCCCTGGAATCTCCATAGCCCCCTTGAAGCAGCGGATTCTGTGACTGGAGGAGGGGCTGAGGCCAGCCCCAAGACCGGAGTCTGGTTGAGGTGATGACCGTCAAATGCAGTACAGCCTGGACCCCAGCCTGCCTGAAGAAGTCACTTAAAGATTTTGTGACCAGTGTCTGCTCTTAGGAAGGTCCTCCCTGTACTGCCATACCTGCCTTCCCCTAGTCATGGGTCCTCCCTGGACCTCCATTCCTACCTTCTCCTGGTCATGGGTCAAAGGCAAAAAGCTTGTGACCTCTGCCCTCCCAAGTGAGGACACTAAAGGATCTCATGGGGCAGGGCAGGCATGTCTGGTGCGTCCCAGGCAGGTTTTGGGGATGGTGTGTGAAGAGCAAGACTTGCAGATCAAGGGCTGGGTTTCTGGCCCTGTTCCAGGGTGACATGGAGTCCAATGGGAAGTACATCACCAAGTCCGGCGCCCGTGTGAACTACCAGACGGGCCCCATTGTGTGGGGGGAGCCAGGGACCAATGGCCAGCACGCCTTCTACCAGCTCATCCACCAAGGTAGGGCCCACCTGGCCAGGGCAGGAGTGCTACTAGGGATGGGGAGGGCCTGCCGGCAGAGCCCCCTCCATCAGATGAGGGTTCCCTTGTAGACCATGTGGGTGGCCCCCATGGTGGGGGTAGGCACTTGAGTGACTGCCGTGCCCTTCACAGGTACCAAGATGATACCCTGCGACTTCCTCATCCCTGTCCAGAGCCAGCACCCCATAAGGAACGGTTTGCATCACAAGGTAAAAACACTCTTCCTGACCCTCTTCAGCTGTTTTAGATTCACATCACACCCAGACCTCTTTAAGACTGATTCATTAGTCAGCACTGACTAGTTTTCTGTTCCTGTCACCACAAGCTTAGTGGCTTAAAAACAACACTCATTTATTGTCTTGGGTTTCTTTGGGCCGCAGTCCATCATGCTTGCTGGGTCTCTGCTGAGGGTCTCAAGCTGAAGTCAGGGTATCCGCAGGGTCGTGTTCCTTTTTGGAGGTTCTGGGGGGCAGCCTTTTCCTCATTCATTCAGATTGTTGGTAGAATCTATTTCCCTATCAGTTCATTTGCTCAGTTGTGTCCGATTCTTTGTGACTCCATGGACTATAGCATGCTAGGCTTCCCTGTCCATCACCAACTCCCAGAGCTTGCTCAAACTCATCAAGTCAGTGATGCCATCCAGCCATCTCATCCTCTGTCATCTCCTTCTCCTGCATTCAATCTTTCCCAGCATCACAGTCTTTTCCAAGAAGTCAGTTCTTTGCATCAGGTCACCAAAGTATAGGAGTTTAAGTTTCAGCATCAGTCCTTCAGATGAATATTCAGGATTTATTTCCTTTTAAGATTGACTGGTTTGAGCTCCTTGCAGTCCAAGGGACTCTCAAGAGTTTTCTCTTAACACCACAGTTCAAAATCATCAGTTCTTCAGCGCTCAGCTTTCTTTATGGTTCAACTCTCACATCCATACAGGACTACTGGAAAAACCATAGCTTTGACTAGATGGGCCTTTGTCAACAAAGGTCTATTCTTTTTAATATGCTTTTAATATGCTCTCTAGGTTGGTCATAGCTTTTCTTCCAAGGAGTGAGCGTCTTTTAATTTCATGGCTACAGTCACCATCTGCAGTGATTTTGGAGCCCCCCAAAATAAAATCTATCACTGTTTCCTTGGTTTTCCCATCTGTTTGCCATGAAGTGGTGGGACCAGATGCCATGATCTTTGTTTTTGGAATGTTGAGTTTTACCATTTCCCTATGTTGTAGGACTAAGGTCCAGTTTCTTTGCTGATAGCTGGGGGCCATGCTCAACTTCTAGAAACCTTTTTGGCTCTTGGTCTCAGAACCTGCAGGGGTGGGCTAAGTCCATCTGATGCTTCAATTTTGTCCTGCCTCTTCTTCAGTTGCATGTCTCTGGATGACTCACTTGCCTTCCCCTTCTGTTATTTTTAAGGGCCATGTGATTACATTGGGTCCACCCAGATAATCTCTTTATCTTAAGGTCTGTAGCCTTAGCTCCAAATCCCTCTACCAAATCCCTTTTGCCTCGCTGTGCACACAGGCATTAACAGCAGGGGGCAAAGATCAGGGATTCAAGATCTTGTCTGCCACAGCAGCAAGGGGAAAACCACCCCACTCCGGAGGTGACAAGAATCCTTGAAGAGGACTGCTCCTGCCTTATCTCGGGTGTGCAGAGTAGCACAGGTTACTGTGGGCACAAGCTTTGGACTTGGTGTCCTGGGTTTGAATTCTGATTCTTCTCGTCTGTTCCTCTGTCTTGGATTCAGTGCTGTTGACTTGAAGAAACTGAGGCTTAGCTAGAAAAGAGAGATGATGCCTCTGCCCCTCACAGTCTTCAAAGATAAACATTGGCAAAGTTCTTAAAAGGCCGCTCAGCAAGTAGTACGTAGTCCTTGAAGGGTACTTATTGTCGTTACCTAGTTTCTGGTGTCCTTGAATGTGCTGTTGTCCCCACTTGCTCCAAATAAGCTCTAGAGGTGGAGGCAATCAGGCTGACCCCAGCTGTTGAGACTCACCCCAACTGGGCAGTGCTAGGCAGTCTCATCTGCCTGCCTAAAGCTCATACAGTGCTTCACAATGGTACTTGATGTCTCTCTCGCAGATCCTCCTGGCCAACTTCTTGGCCCAGACTGAGGCCCTGATGAGGGGGAAGTCGACAGAGGAGGCCAGGAAGGAGCTACAGGCTGCTGGAAGGAGTCCAGAGGACTTTGAGAAGCTGTTGCCCCACAAGGTCAGTGCTTCTCTTGGACTGGGCTTTGGGGTGGCATCCTGGAGCCGGAAGGATGAAGTTGTGTGGCCGTGGATGGGGGCTCGGGGAGCCCTGGCCTGTCCTGCACAGTAGGGGGGGGCTGTCCTCACGAACCTGCCCACCCCAGCCTTGAGCAGGGGGTGCTTCCCTTCTGAAGAGCTGGGGACCATGACTAACTGGCGGACATTCCTGGGTGTTTTCTGAAGGTCTTTGAAGGAAATCGCCCGACCAATTCTATAGTGTTCACCAGACTCACGCCATTCATTCTTGGAGCCTTGATTGGTGAGTAAGCGGGGAAGGTCTCAGCTTGGGATAGGTCTGAGTGGGCTGGGGGAACCCTAACATGCTTCCCTCCACATGTACTCCCTCCACAGCCATGTATGAGCACAAGATCTTCATTCAGGGCATCATCTGGGACATCAACAGCTTTGACCAGTGGGGGTGAGTTGCTGGCTCGAGGGGAGGGTAGGGAATGCCTACCCAAGGTGAGTTGGCTTGTGGATTTCACTAGTAATGCTGGAAGCCTCCTCATACCCTTATTTCTCCTCTGCCTGGCAGAGTGGAGCTGGGAAAGCAGCTGGCTAAGAAAATTGAACCTGAGCTTGACGGCAGCAGCCCAGTGACTTCTCACGACTCTTCTACCAATGGGCTGATCAACTTCATCAAGCAGGAGCGCGAGGCCAGAAGCTAATAAACTCGTGCCCAGCAGTGGCCCCTGTTGTGACTGGTCCTTCTTGTCTGCCTGCCCAGAGTCTGCACTGCACAGTCCTGCCCAGAGCACCCTCTGGTTTTGGGCTTGGACCACGAGCCCTTTGGGGGAAGCTAGTCTGGAATTGCCACCCCTGCCCTCTCAGTGTCCACACCCTCTCTGTTCTACAATTGGCTGAAGTGTTTCAGTGCAACTGAGTTTTCTGATCTATGTTTATTGTTTGTGTACCAGAAAGAAAAATAAAGATGTCACAAAGGAGGTCATGGGCTTAGCCTCTTTGTTGTGAGATGGGCTTTCTGCAGAAGTCAAGGTGCCCAGTAGGAAGAGTGGTTGCCTTGACTGAGGCTTGACTGTAACTGGTGAGCAGATCCACACTGGAAGATGGTCCCTTGAGGAGAGAGTGGGTGGAGCGGGGCACTGTCCATGTCTCGAGGGCAGCTTGGTGTCTGCAGCTGGATCTCTTCTCCATCTTCTTACACTGCTCACCTCTGTAGCTTTGGAGGGACTGTATCCTTCCATTTGATGAACGGTTTTTAAAACCACAGTGAGATTTTGTCTCTCTGGGTGGATTCCTGGCCCAGAGCAAGAGTGACTGCTAACTCCTGGCCAGGTACCCAGGTAATTCTTTCCTTTTATAAGGTAGACATTGAAAAAAAAGGAATTTTGAACAAACTGCTTTTTTATTTTCTATTTAAGGTACTTCTATTCAATATATTAATACTTCTGGCCAACTTAGCTGAAAAGGAATTTCATTTAAAGAATTGATGGGACTCTCCATGTCGTCCAGTGGTTAAAAATCTGCCTGCCAATGCAGGGGACATGGGTTCAACCCCTGGTCCAGGAAGATTCCACATGCCACGGGGCAACTAAGCCCATATATCACATGGGCATGAGCTAAACTCTAGAGCCCAGGAGCCACAACTACTGAGCCTGAGCGCCCTAGAGCCTGTGCCCCCCCCAATAGCAGAGACCGCAATAAGAAGCCCGTGCATCACTAAAGAGTAACGTCAGCTCACTGCAACTAGAGAAAGACCTGGAGTGGCAACGAAGATCCAGCAGAGCCAAAAATGAAGTAAAGTGCAAGTCACTCAGTCATGTCCGACTCTCTGCGACCCATGGACTATACAGTCCATGGAATTCTCCAAGCCAGAATACTGGAGTGGGTAACCTTTCCCTTCTCCAGGGCATCTTTCCAACCCAGAGATTGAACCCAGGTGCCTGCATTGCAGGCAGATTCTTCACCAGCTAAGCCACAAGGGATATAAATAAATAAGCCAAAAATAAATAAATAAGCCAAAAATTAAATAAGATTTAAAAAAACAATGATGCACAGAACCAATGGGCAGGCTAGAGGCTGAGCTTTCCAGACCTACAACCCTAGACCATGACAGAGAATGATCTGAACCAGGAAAATTACTACCCCTCATAAGGCCCTGCTGCCCTCGACCCTGTCATCAGGGTGGCCTTCACCCCATCGTCTGGGCTGCCTGCATTTGAGTTGTCCTCTGGCTTGCTCATGTTCCTTCCTCAAAACAGGGAAAAGTCAGGACTTGTATTTTTTTGTTCTTATAAAGAGAAGAGAAATTGTACCCATGAAAGGCAGGAATACTCTGATTGTAGAGAGTGACCATATAGGTGCAAATATCCACCTAAAATAAGTAACAGAAATTGTCAGCACTTCTCATCCTCTTATTGGTGAAGTGAGATTCTTTTTTTATTCCCAAAGTTAATATCCACTTCTCTCCCCACTTTTGCAGAACTGATAGAGGCTCTTCAACACTCAAGCTCTGTTGAAACCCCTGCTGACCCACCTTCTTTCTTAATACAGCTGATGAAAAGTGAGCTATATTCCCAGCAGAGGCACTTCCTCTTTACAAAAGAGCAAGCACACACAAAAAACTTGGGAGGAAAATTCTGGTGGCAGACTGTCTCAGGCTGACTTGGTTTCACACAGAGGATCTTGTAGCAGTGAGACCCCTGTACTAGGCCAGCTGCCAAGTCTCACGTCAGGAGGAAGAGGACCTGGAAAAAAATTGGCCACATGTCCCTTGGCCCTACCTTGTTCTGCTCATCACTGCCACTGTCATCACTTACAGCTTCCACTTACTGTGTAGCTGCCAGTTCTTGTGAGTCTTGAATAGTATATGAGTTCTCCAGAGGAGCAGAACCAATAGGATATATGTCTGTGTATCTCTACAGAGGTGAATGAGATTTCCTATGGGAGGAGGCTTACATGATTATGGAGGCTGAGAAATCCCACAATATGCTGTCTACAAGCTGGAGACTCAGGAAAGCCAGGGGCATAATTCAGTTTGACCCTGAAGGCATGAAAACTAAGAGGCCACTGATGTTAAAGTCCAGAGTCTGAAGGCTTGAGAGCCAGGAGCTCTCATGTGCAAGGGCAGAAGAAGACAGTTGTCCTGGCTCAAGGAGAGAAAATTCATCTTTTCTCCATCTTTTTGTTCTCTTGGAGCTCTCAGTAGATTGGAGAATGCCCACTCACATTATAGAGGGCGGATCTTTATTCAGTCTACCAATTCAAGTGCTAGTCTCTTCTGAAGCACCCTCATAGACAATCAGAGAAAATTTGTTTTTACTAGCTATCTGGTCATTCTTTAGCCCAGTTAAGTTGACATGTAAAATTAACCATCACTAACAGCTCTTTGGGTGAGACTGAAGCAGTGTTCAACATCTTCATTCTGTATTTCCTCAAATATCAAATGTATCACCATTTGATGATTTCTGTGAGTTTGTCAGGAGGCCCAAACTCTACAAAATCATGAATTAAGTTAGACACTTCCAAGTCTCACACATGCAAGCACTCTGTCCCAAGGACTTTACAATAATGCCAGTGTCAAAATTGCTTTTAAATTGCTTCTGGAATTCTGGAATGCAGTAGTAATTCACATATTGAAAATTCCTCTTAAGTAATAAGCCTTCATGCTGTGATCACACGTTGATGAAGAGGCTGTAATAGGTAGTGTTATGATATAATCAGATGACATTGGAGAGAGCGCAGTAACTGGCAATCATCAATTTGATTACAAAAAGTTTACCTTTTCCAGAATGTGGCCTTTTGCTGGAGATCTTGCTATGTTAGCAAGAATAAGGGCTTTAAAAAAATTTTTTTTTTGCGGGGGCAGTCTTTTTTGGGAATCTTAGTTCCCTGACCAGGGATTGAACCCGTGCCTCCTGCAGTGGAAGCATGGAGTCTTAACCACTGGACCACCAGAGAAATCCCCAAGAAGAATTTTGAAGTTTGTTTCTTATTGCAGTAATTTAGAAATGTATCCTGGGAAACATTTAGCTAAAATAACAAGTATCTACCAAGTCATCCAGCCATTTTGGAAGACATGACGAGAACAGCAAGATTGGACTTCACAGCACCTGTAAAGCCATCAGATTGGCAGTAATAAACTAGGAGTAAACAGGTTTCACTTCCAAGTGTTTGCTAGGGCCGGAGTCAAACATAAGGGGGCACCTGTGTCTTTTTTATTTTTATTTTTTTACATACCATGGTACAAAGCCTGGAATAGTACTTCTGCAACATGCTTTTTTTAAGTCCAACTTATTGAGGTGTAATTTACATATAGTAAAAATTCATCTTCCTTTGGTGTACAGTTCTGACAACTCTGTCCAGTCATGTAGCCAGCACAAGTGAGATATATAGCATTTTCATCACCCTAAGTTCTGACACCCTTTTGTGGTCAGTCTCTGCCCCCTAAACCCAAACTCTGGCAAGCATCGATTTGACTACAAAGCCTACCTTTTCTAGAATGTGGCCTTTTGTATCTAGCTTCTTTCACTTAGCACTATGTTTTTTAAATTCCCCTGCGTGTGCCACAGGTGTTTTAAAATTTTTATTACGGAAAAACTCGAACATATAAAAGTCAAATAGCATAACAGACCACCCTGTGCCTCACGCCAAACTCGAACAATGATCAACCCAGGGCCCATTTTATTTTATCTACGACCCCTCCCATCACGTACCAAACTCCAGATATATCATTTCATCTACAGTAAAGGCATTTCAATGTGTCTCAAAAATGTGGGCTTCCCTGGCGGCTCAGATGATAAAGAAACTGCCTGCAATGCTGGAGACCAGGTTTCGATCCCTGGGTCAGGAAGATGCCCTGGAGAAGGAAATGGTAACCCACTGCAATATTCTTGCCTGGAAAATTCCATGGACAGAGGAGCCTGGTGTACAGTTCATGGGTCGCAAAGAGACACAACTGAACGACTAATACTTTATACATTTTTTTCTCTAAAAATTTAGGACTCTCTCTTTTCTCCCCCGCCCCCCTTTTTTCGGAGGTGGGGTGGGGTGGGGTGGGGGGTTGTTTAGGAGAGTGCTATTTTTCCCTCCCAAATTTTTTTTGGGGCCGCCCCTTGGGCAAGTGGAATCTACCAGGGATCGAACCCCGCCCACTACATTTGAAGCTCGGAGTCAGAGCCACCAGACCGCCAGGTAAGTCCCCCTGATTTTAGATAAAACTTCTCGGCAAGATACCTCACAGTAGGTGCTACCTACTTCGTTTCGCGGCGCATTATCAGGGAGAAAAAAATCTGGGACCCACGATATTGAACTTAGAACTCCAAATTACATCTCCCAAAAGGTCTAGGAGCGGCGGGGCTGTCCCACAGGCGTCAGCGGTGCGCACGCGCAGAGAGGCACACCCTCTCGGCTGCCGTAGCCCGCCTCTTCACGTGTTCTCCCGGTCGTCATGGCGGCCGTTCGGAAGCCAGTGCTGCTCGGGCTTCGAGATGCTGCAGTGCACGGCCGTCCCACGGGGCCGAGCGCCTGGACCGCAAGCAAGCTGGGCGGCGTTCCGGTGAGGTGGGGCGCGGGCGCCGGGGTCGGCTGGAGCTGGTGTTGGGCTACGGGGTGAGGGAGTGGGCGAGGTCCCTGGACAAAGTCAGGGTGTGAGCGCTTTCCTTGTCCTCAGGACGCCCTGCCCGCCGTGGCAGCTCCGAGGCCGGTG